TTCTGTAATTTACTATTAAATTAACATAACTTCCTAGTTACATGAATTATGAGTATAATTCATTAATTATTCTTAATCCTTAAAGATTTATCAATCATCTTTATTATTTAACTCCTATCATATACCAATTAAAGAACCTTTTGGTTATTACACACACAACGGGTCCTACATTACTAGACGATCACACATTTATTTATCTGGCCAGATGATCAAGTGTTCTACTATAAGATCTGTTCAATATTAAGTGTTTATTGTAAGGGTTTATATGATTCATAGGATGTTTGGGGTGTATAAGGCAATATAGGTATGGGATTATATTGAGGATGTTAGGTCATTCTTTAGGGTAGGTTTTCATTAGATTTTCATGGGATTTCATTAGGTAAAGCCTTCGTAGGCTTTTCTTAGGCTTTGTAGGTTTTCCATGTGTAGGTTAGTTTAGAGGGTTATTATTATAAGGGGTGCACAAAGGGGGGGACCATCACAAGTGTAACAAATAAAAGAGCTCCTCATAAGCTGTCAACAGATTCTTGCCCTTAGAGAAACGCTAACCCGAGATTTACTGGTTTATATGCCATATTTACAAGACGATAAGATACATTTTCGATTGTTACGTTGTAACAGTTTGTTTGCCTGAGATAGAAGCCTTCTCGTAGTGAAAAATGAGCATCTCTTGTTGTTGGGATTAAAAATTATACGTGTCTTTGTTTGTGGCGTCGGTGGTAGGGTGGCGGCATTGAGGCGCGGTGGGGTTCTGTATCCAGACTTTGTTTGTATTAATACTACTTCAAAAACAAAGAATTTATTTTGTAATTTAGTATTGAACGTAAACTCTGTACGTTATTGTATTTCGACGCAGTAACTACAGTACAGTAAGATAGCTCCATGTCTCTCTCTTAGGTTACCTCATCCCTATTTGTAACTCGAATATGATCTATTTAAAAAAGGAATGCACGGTGCTCGGGATTAATACCAGCTTATTCCAATCGATCTCCACGAGGTCCCATTCAAAACCGTCACGGTTAATTCCTGCCGAATTCGTCATGATAGGTAAATTGACTTGACTTAATTTTTGCGTATGACATTCAACCCTCAATGGTAACTAGGATGAACTGTGCTATAGGTTTTCCCTGGTTATAATTGACGATAAGCTTGTAATGTAATGTAATGTAAATAGGACTATGTTTTCTGCGCTTAGTCTCTCATTTGGGCCGTTGTGCGTATGAGTCGTAGCTAGTACAGCCAACCTAGCTCCGCACAGAAGCACAAAAGCTTCCTGGGATCATCACAGGCTTCATGGAGCGACCTCACCGTTTCGAGGATTTCTAAACGTTGATGGGCCAGAGCTTCACATTCCAGGATTACGTGGGCAGCCGTTTCTTTGGCGTCGAAACAGCCTCGACATAGAGGGCTGTCTGGGGCTCCTATTGTGTATAAATGTTTGTTTGATGGACAATGGCCCGTTATTGTCCCTATAATTATTTTGAGGTTTTCCTATCTAAATGTAATAAAATCGCTTCTTGGTCTTTTGGCTAAGATCAAAGTAACGATGAGCTTATTATACCATTTTCGTTCATTAAAAAAATATTAGTTTCGTACATTTCGCGTGTTCAAACGAAAATTGTATATTGATATAACAACTACAGATACATGCATACAAAAAGTAGATACGTAAATTTTTGTATGCACTGTCCTCGATGTCTTTTCGTCTAAAGGGATTAGATACTTAAATCAATGCTATTTTTGACAGTAGAGACATAACATGGATATGGATAGATATTCCATGTAGACAAAATAGAACCTCAAGTGCAGCAACGCATGCTAGATGTTAGATACAAACAACACAGTATATTCTTATGTGTTGTGGGATGATTCTCATCTACAAGGGATTATATTGTATTTATTTTTCAAAACCTTAACTTATTTACTAAACTTACAATATATATTTTTGACGATGGAAGGTCGTTGAACTAATCAACTTATAAGTGCATTAATGATTTAATTCAATTAGGTAGCTAATTAGCGCAGTGACAGGTTATGTTTGTATGTATGTATGTTCACTCACCAGAGTCCCAGGTGAGAGGGGAGGGGGTCGCGGGCCGGCGCTACGGGCGCCCCCCACCTGTCACTGCGCTCGACTCTTGAACAAAATCATCAGGTCAGAATGTGGCCTCAAGTGATCAGACTTATGAGGGACAATGTTATTTGTTTATGGGTATTCATAAGGTCTTATAGGGACCTATTTATATGGGTTCTACATTAGTCGATTTTAATTTATATATTTATGTGTGTTGCCGTATGGTCCCGGCATAGAATGGGCCACCCCTTCCTTTCCTGTGGGTGTTGTAAGAGGTTACTCAGGGAACTTAATGGTCGAAGGATGGGCAAACCGTTTGCTACGCATAACTACTGTCAGAATCCCGCAATTGGGGAAGGCCTATGTTCAGCAGTGGACAGTTAACGGCTTATATGATATGCTGATGATTTATATGTATAATATTTTTTTATAAAACAATGATAGCAGACAAGCTTACACATAGCTTAGTGGATATATGACATACATACATACATACCTGTCACGCATGTCTCCCATTAGGGCAGACAGAAACAATGGAACGCCAAATGCCTTGATTCAAGCAAACCTCTTTTGCTTCTTCCACATTCATCAATCTTTTCATAAACTCTCGCCGGTTACGGATACTTTTAATTTGGCCCTTCTTTAGCACGTCGCCTATTTGGTTATACGTTCGTCTAGGGCGGCCCCTACCGACAACTCCATGCATTCTTGCTCGATAAATCTCTTTTGTAATTCTTCTTTCACCCATTCTCTCCAAAACTGGATATATAACTGAGATATAATTTTAATTTATATATTAATAGATGAGGATTTAAACTCGTGATATAGCCATGGATATGCGAAATTATAGATATTATATTGTTCATGTCATCCTGTTTACATTGATTTGTCAAAGTTAAATAAAACAATAATACTGACCTAGGCAAGCGATCGAATCGTAGTAGCAAATTTCTACTTGTAAAATTGTCTTAATTAATTTATATCTTATATTAGTTAGAAAATATCACTGTCTGTACTAAAGTAGTTAATAAAGCAATAAAGTTGCCGTTTGTTACTTCAATTAGAGATCGTATTCAGATTGGATAGCTGAGAAATCTCGTATTCTTGAATTTAAGTATATTTCAATTTATTTTATATTTGATTATTCTATTTTCAAATTTCTTGCTTACTCTTTGTGACTGCCAGACGCTTGTGACACGTAAATGAAACTAAATCTCAGGTCTATTCGAAATAATATACATAAATGTACTAGACAATACATTCTTTATCTAAGGTGAATTTAAATTTTAAGATTATTAGAGGAGTTATGAATCGATAAGTTTAATAGAAACCCGTTTCTGTTTTATGACCGTAGTCCGCATTCAATTAAAATTTAATTTTGGATAAAAACATCTATTTGTCTTTCTTTACATCAAGCTAGAGGAAAGCTGAGAAAACCGAATATCTCGTCTCATCCACTGTCATAATTCACTTCATTACAAAGAGTGCAAACACACGTTATAAAGACTTTGCACAAAACATCCATGCAGATTTAACAGGCGTTAAGCTATTACGACATTTAACTTACCTTGTAGTGCTGGTGATCAAAAACCAATAATCTGTGACTATAGACTGGCCAAATTCTATTCTAAATGGATTTTGTGGTAATATCATATTTAAAGTCATCGAGCTTGATAGGATTACTAGCTTTTACCCGCGACTTCGTCAGCATGACCGGTATTATGTTGATAGCCCTAGATAAAAAGTAGCACATATTCTTCGCCATCACAAATAGTACATGTATGCCAAATTTCGGAAGAATTGGTTTGAACTGTTAAAGTGGCAGGAGGGAACAAACAAACTCACTTTTATAATGATAACACACACTTGACAATTACTTCTATAATAGTAAAGATTCGCATCGCATATTCGACTTCCAAAATTTTCATAATACATATATACAATACCTATATATACAAGTGAATATAGTTAAGAAGTATTTTTTTTATACAACTCAGAATGACAAACAAGCTGACGGCCCACCTGATGGAAAGTGGTAACCATCGCGTATAGACATGAGCAGTACCATGGACATAACAGAGTATACTGTTTCGCCCTTAATACCCCCCATGCGTTGCCATTCCTGAGCACTGAGGTGTTATTCCTCTATACCCTGTAAATTCACTCCATATCCCACTCTTCAAACCGAAACACTGCCATGCAAACACAACTACTTTACGGTTGAAACACGAATGGGACTGAGGTACCCAAGCAATCGACTTTTGTACAAAGTCTCCCTCTGGTATCTAATATTACAAATTGCAAAACATAAATAAAAATATAAAATAAAAGATTTAGAAATTTTATTTTCAATAGAAATGATAGATAAGCTTAATTTCAAATTGAGAGAGATAGTTATTCGATTGAAATAGTTATTGAAATATTTTCAAATATATTTTATCTGACGTCACATATCAATCAGAATAATAAATGTACTATGGCATTAATGACGCCGAAGTAAAAAAAAAAAACTCTACAAACTCTAAATATCAATTTATTAAAAATGGTATTTTCAACTAGCTTTTACCCGCTACTTCATATGCGTGACCGGGTTATGTTCACTGACCATGATAAAAAGCAGCCTATGTCTTTCTCCATCCCATATTGTAGGTGTATTAAAAATTTCCTAGTGATTGGTTAAGGCATTAACAGTTAACAAACAAACAAACTTACTTTTACATTTATACATGTAAGTTTGTTGTATGTAAGGAATACTGAAAAAACAAATTTAAAAGAAGAATTTTTCAATTATAAAAAAATATAATAGTAACATCACACACAAAACATATATCCAGAGTCGTCTGATGAGGATAGATTTAGTTTTTCGTCATAATATTACCAATGATCTACTCATCAGAAGATTCTAGATTTATATTAAAAGCCTCACCGAACTCACCAAGCAGCCATGGTGCTACCGAGTCGTTCTCTTTCGCGCTCTTGAGTATAGTTTCCGGGAGTGGCAAGGAGTGGCGGACCATGGCGCCGTAGAGTCCGTATTCGGCCATGATCGTCGACCGTCCCCAGCACTTTTCCGTTTTGCGCCACTTGGCCCGTCGATTCTGGAACCAGACCTGTTGAATGAAATAAAAAATATTATAAATGGTTTTCCATTCAGTAACTTGTATCAGCTCCATTGCTGAGTATAGGCCTTCTCGTATTGGGAGGTTTTGCCAGTATCAGGTGCTATGCTTGGTAGACGGATTGGTAGCGGCAGTTAGGCTTTGGTGATGTTTTAAGAGAGACGCTACTGCCCATCTTTCGACCATTAAGTTCCCTTAGTCACCACTTACGACACCCACGGGAAAGAAAGGGATAGCTCATTCTATGCTGGGATCACACGGCAAGCGTATTATAGTCTGTAAAATTATCAGATGTTTCTATCAAAAGATATGTCGTAAAAGTTATGTATAAATTATCAACGTTCTACATAATTACGATGATGATGGACAGAAGTGCAGTGTTCAGTTGCTGAAAATGTAAAGTTTATTGCTTTGAAGAAAATAAGTCATGTATATGTACTTTATCCTATATGTAATGAATTGGACGAAGCAGCAAAATACATAAGAGTAAATAATGAACTGTATTAACTATTTCTTAATACAGATATCTTAATTAACAGGGCTAAAATATAAAAATTATATTATGATAACGCAGAACTAGGCGAACGCCGTGAGTGAGACTAAAATTAAAAAGTATAGTACAAATTTTTATATGGCAACACCATATAAAAATTTGTATTCTGTATGCAACACTATAACTATAAATATATATAAAGATTTTAACTTTTTTCTATGCCTTAGTTCTTATGCGACAGTTTGAAAGCGTGGACGGTTGGATGTTCCTTACTCTTTTACTGTTAAATGAAGTAGAAAGAAATTTGGTACACAGGTAGGACATATCCTAACTTAGAATATTTTATGTACTAATTTTCGTGAGCGAGCTTTTATTTTTTTCTTAGTGATACTCTCCATAGAATAAATTACGCGAATTATGCGTTTTTATAATAAAAATATGCTTTGGATGTCGGCCGCTTTATCCCATAATACTATGAAAGTAACTAAAATAAACTAATCTAGCAGTCTCAATATTAATATACTGTTTAACCCTGCGTACGCCGTAGAAATTAATTCAGTTACAAGGTTTTGGATGTAAGGACCCCATTGAGTTTCATTATCAAGAGCGATTCCAAGAAAGACAGTAGAATCTATAATATAAAATCAAGAAGTTAATTATTTAATTTTACAGTAGAATTCGAATGTGATTTTTAGAAAGAGAAACAATTACGCATTTTGTTTTTTAGCATTTACCATCATCTAATGGTTATTTGTAAAGTAATACAAGAGTCGCAGCAAAATATTATTTACATCGTCATAATTTTTGGTCAATACTATGCCACATATAGAGATGGGCAATCCACCTGGGTGGGTTTAAAGTCTGGTGGGTAAAAACCGGGTGTTTTGGGTTTATTGGGTTTAAACCCCATAAACACCCAAATTTTTGGGTGTTTATGATTTTGTACTTCATCATCGTCATCTCAGCCGCAAGACGTCCACTATACTGGACATAGACAATATTATTATGCAGCCTACAGAATAAAAAACTTTTAATTTGATTTTGAGTTTATTAAGAAAGAGATGAAAGTAAAATGTAAAACTACAGTCAATCACTGTCAGATTCAGAGTTATTACAAGCGATGAATTGTATAGGTTCGATAGGCTCTATTTCGTCTAAACTGTTATGTTCATTTACTTGCTCAATGAAAGCTTCTAAGGTATTTTCTTCATTAAACTGAATGTCCTCGCATTCAGCTTTATGTTTAAGATTCCAGTTATAACAAATGAATGAAATTTTTTCAGTTCTTTCAGTTGTAAGTCGATTTCTTTTGTTATTATGTATGTAGCCTTGGATACTAAAGGAACGCTCAGTGGCTGCCGAAGTACAGGGAGCTGATAGAATACGAATCGCTACTTTGCTTAACTCAGTGGAACCACAAATACCTTTCCACCATATTAGGGGCTCAATGCTATCTAATGAGCTCCATACAAATCCTCTGGCCCAAAAGTTTTCTTTAGCTTTATAACACGCCAAATCTGCCATTACATTTGACAAACTTAAGTGTTGGCTTAAATTGTAGATAAACTCCATACCCTTAAGTTCTTCCTCTTGAGTAAGTTCGACTCCTAGAGTCCTGGGGTCTAGAATATATGCTGCAAAATGTATTGGCCTCATTGCCATATTGCATCTTGAAGATACTGATGTTAGAATCTGCTGTTTGCTTTCTTCGCTCAATGTCGAAATCTCATTTAATGCAAAACGTATCTTAGCTTGTACATCTCTAAATGTAATGTATGTGCGATGCAAACGATTCTGGTCGCTCTCTAAGTAAAATATGCTTTCAGTGACTGGTTCCAAAATACTTATACATTCCCCTGTCTTCGTCCAGAAATCATCACTTAGAATTAAATCTTTAATATCTCTTGAAATTACCACATCTTCTCTAACTGTTAATATTTGCAAAGCTATCTTATTTGCTTTCAAACTTTTTAACGAAGTAACATGACTTCCCCATCTTGTAGCACAAGGCAATTTTAGTGTTTGTGTAGAATCTTCACCCTGCCTTGATTTTATCAACAAGGAACTTAATCGTTGACTCCTTTTAACAGTTTTTATTATATTTATGGCTTGCATAATAAACACAGTTACTTCTTGTATCTTTACAATATCTTGGCACAACAAGTTAAGGATATGTGCACAGCAACCGAGAGGAACAACATGTGGATATTTGAGTTTTGTTAATTCGAATGCCTTTTGTATATTTCTAGCGTTATCGCCAATAAGTACAAGAAACTTATTTGCTCCATACACTTTCATTACTTTTTCAACTTCTTGGCTAAGGTATTCACTAGTGTGAGGATTACTTTCTGTATTCAAACTTTTAACGTATGCAGGTTGAGGTTTTGATATAAGAAAGTTTATTATTCCTTCATTTCTTAAATTAGACCAGCCATCGCACTGAAGGTGTAAGTAACTACAAGCATTTAGTTCCTCATTTAACTCAAAACGCATTTCTCTATATATTTTATCTAAGTATTTTGTCGCTAAAGCTTTACGTGAAGGTATTTTAAATTTTGGTTGCAATTTTTCGAAAAATTGTATCCATAAAGGATGTTGCACCATCGATAATGGCGTCCCTGTTACAAATATAGCTCTCGCTAATTCTGTTTTTATATGATCATCGGTGTCTTGAAACTCAGCATTTATTGTAGTGTTAGCAGACGACGAGGGGCTTATAAAAGAATCATTTGTCTCTATCTCTGACAGTCCAGACATTTTGGTTTTGGACGAGCTATCTTTTATAAGTTTCATAGAGTCTTTTAATGTTTCTGGAGATTTTGGACAAGTGATAAGATGTTGAAGCATTTTGGCAGCATTACTGAATTTGTAGACCTTATTACAAAGCTTGCAAGAAACAGACTTGTTTGGTAAAGTACGGTAGTGCTCCCATATGCGTAAATCTTTAGGTCTCCCCATTGAACCTAAAAAAATGAACGATGATTAGTTGGTCTGACGAAAATTCAACAATAGAGTGCCTATTTTTTTACAATGATTATTTCTTGTTATTTACAATAAATTTATTAAAAAAATAATAAAATAAATACAAAAAACCTTTGTAAAATTACATCTCCTCGGAGGATTAAACGCAGACGCTAGTTTATTATCGTATTGTTCTGTATTTTTCTCAGCAACTTCTTTAATTCGATTAGGTACTTACGCATATTATGTTAAAAATAAATATCTAGTACACATCTTAGGCTATCCACCATTATTATCCAATGACGACTCTCAGCTAACTATGCACTATCATCCAAAATAAACGTGTATGGAAAATTTTATCCCAGTCGGTTGAGGATTGAGGATAATTGCATCAACATACGAACATACCTACATACTTTTATTTACATAACGCAAGCTAAATAAAAGCTTGTAATAATACATCTAATTTTAAGTTAAAATTGTTAAGTGATCATGATATAATTGTATCATTCAAAAATCCACTTACCTTTAATTATTTCTTGTTAAGTATAAATATTATTTCAAATCTGCTCCCTTAATATGCACTTTTTTACTGCTTTTCCTACCTAACACGTTACCAGGAAGTCACGTTACCAGAGTCAGAGTAATAGTGAACACGTTTGACAGTGATTGTCGTCGCCTCATATTCAGCGTCGACGAATAGGGGAATCCCCAGTCATAATGTATTGCATGCGTGGCGGTCTTACTTCAAATCCATAAACAAAGAGATAATTACAGAACTCGATACTAGATGGCGCTGTTTTTGTTTGAAGAAAGTTTGCGGGCTAAAATACATAGAATTTCATCAATGACTTCCACAAAGAACAACATTTCTGTTTTTTCTAAGTCCGTATCTCTTCCGTATATTTCATAAGATATAAGCTTGGGCTACATTGTTATGCAACGTGATTTTGTCGCTGTCTTGCTAGCAGGGTTGACAGATATACGATTTAAATCGTACTCATACTATTATTTGTCTATTTTTTAATGTACGATCGTAAAGATTATGATCGTAATTCGCACAAAAACATACGACTTTTTGGTTACCTGGCAACATTTTTATTATGAAACGAACATGCTCACATCATCAGTCACATGCAACAATTTATTGGGGATTTCCCCTTCACATCTGGCAGTCCTGCTTGCTAGAATATAGGTAAGTCAGCCACAGTTACTGACGATCGATATTTAAAGGGTATTGTTTTTGTGCTAAATATTTCATAAAAACGTTATTTAATACTTTGTGGATTATTAATTTAGTTGATAATCACTGGAAGTAAAATGGATGCTAATTTGAGAGATCAAGATCTTCGTATAAAACAGTTAATAAAAGAAAATCTACGTAAGTACTCTTTTTATACCTAGGTAGGTAAGGTATAATAAACACAAAAGGTACTTAGATCGCGTGTGTTCGAAGCATTTATTCTAATAAATTTAATTTAAAATTGTAGAAAGAAAAAAATGTCTGCCAAGCCGTAGCCGAAGCCGATCTCCAAATATATTTGGCGATAGTGAGACCCAGTGTCCAGATGATTTACCCAGCGTCGTCGCAACAAAGAAAAAAAACGAGGATAAAGTAAAAGAAAATTTACTGAAAGAAGAAACAAACTGTTCTAAATGCTTAATTTATGGAGAAGAGGATAAAAGAAATGAGTATTTCGGACTGTTAGTGGCTCAAGAATTTAAATATATACGGCCATGTGTGCGAACGAGGTGTTATGAAGAAATTTTAAAGTATCTACGGGAAGCAAAAGGCCAACATGTTGATCAACTGCAACATGAAAACACTGAAAATTAATTACTTTCATTTTATTATATATAGATTTTTAAAATTTCCTGAAATATTATTAGTTAACGTTTTATTTAATATTGTAGAATTGATCAATACAATTTATAAAAATAATTTATTGGTATTACTTACATATTTTCAAAAAAATACGTAAAAACCTATTTTTTTGGGTGATTATGGGAGTTTATGGGTGTTTATTGGGTTTTTACCAAAGCACCGGGTTTAAACCCGGTGCTTTGCCCATCTGTAGCCACATATAGATGTGGCATAAAATCTGTATCTGTAATAAAAATAAGAATGGACCAAGAATAGACTCTTGAGATACAGCTATTCGCACAAGCCCGTTGTATGTAAGACAAACAAGCTGACGGCCCACCTGATGGAAAGTGGTAACTGTCGCCTATACACATGAGCAGTACCATTGATATTATCGAGTATACTGTTTCGCCCACGATACCCCCCATGCGTTGCCATTCCTGAGGACTCAGGTGTTATTCCACTGTACCCTGTAAATTCACTGCCATATTTCACCCTTCAAACCGAAACACAACCATGCAAACACAACTGCTTCACGGTAGAAACACGAATGGGACAGAGGTGCCCAAGCAAAGAACTTTTGTACAAAGTCTCCTTCTGGTAAATTTTAATTCTTTTTGATAAGTATGATTTGATTAAGGTTAAAGCAGTCATTGATACCATAAAAAGCTAGTTTTCTCAGCAATGTATCATGATGTACTCGTACACAATCGAAACCGAGATAGATTAGAAAAAAATGTCAATCGCATCTTATTTTTCCGTTGGAAACAAGCACCACATATATGTGGTTGGTCACTAAACAAAATTACACATAAATTACTAGAATCCAGACTCGTGGTTTTTGTTGATTATTTTATAATTATAGATAATTTGAGGCTAATTTTCTAAATTGATGAGTGGTTTTATTTATTTTTTACTGATATAGTAACAATTTATTATAATTTTTATCTTTATTCACTTGTATTGTACAAACTTGTAAAAAACCCTTTCCAGCAAGAAACATTGTGATTGTATGGGTTCAGGAAAAAATCACGCATTATCTAATACTTTAAATTCCTACATAATATTAAAAACCAATCGTCAGTTTAGAAATTTTACTTTAAATTATCTTTAATTACAATATAATCAATAAAAACCACGAGTCTTGATTGTTGTGCCAAATAGTATTTTTTGTATAGTTTTGTTCAGTGACCAACCACCTTAAGCCAAGTTTGGCTAAATACTGGCACTAGCACTAAGCGCATAATACAAACCAATTATCGAAACAAAACGCGACTAAATTAAATTTTCAAATTCTCTACCAACTACCTACCACCCAGCCCCCACTAGTCAGTTTACTCAGCACAGGGTTGCCACGTACAACAAAAAAAAAAACAAATTAGATTTTTATCATGACATATACGTACATACAAGTTAAACACTTTAGATTGTTTAATTATACGCGTTAATCTTTGGAACTACCAACCATTATTTCGTGCTGCAAAACAAGATACATTCTAACATACAGGATAGTCTTTACATTACTTCCTTTAAGAAAAGATTGAAACCTCATCTTTTAACTAATAATACATAATAATACTATGTATTTACTATTTTTTGTTTATGTGTGTTTTTGTGCATATATATATTTATTTATTTATTTACAATTGGTGTATGTTTATTTTATTTGTATTCTATTAACCTTGTATACCTTTTTACCTGTACCTTTCCTGCATTACATTACCCGCAAATTATTTTCTCTTTAACTTCATTGGGTTGGCTGGAAGAGATCTCTTTTAGAGATAAGCCCACCCTTGCAAACAAATTATTAAACTAATCGATGTATCTTTTGTTCAAGTGCAATAAAGAACATATTGAAGAATATATGAGATTAGAAAAAATCTTTTTGAATTTGATAGCTCATTTCTCTATTTTTAGGAAGGTTAGATAGCCTATTATAGACTATTAGTTATAGATTATTCAACATTACTGCTATATGATTACGGAAAAAGCCATGAGGTACAGCCGGTTTTAATATAATTTTCTATAATACATAATAAATTGTATTAAAATACTTTTTGAACGAAAACATGAAGATGGTAACCCTACCTCGACCGCATGGACTGCCACACCCCTCCCGGGCCCCGTCGTCGTACAAAACAGTTAATTTCCAATTAAATTTGTTAATTAAACTCGATCTGCTCTCGCAAATTAATACTCCAGCGGTATTATGTTCCAGGACCGTCTACCGGCGTGTACTGTACGCCGACCGCCGACTACCCATCCTACCGTGCACCGCCCGGGAACCTCCTATCTACCTGTTTGTTCTATTAACTTAATGACTAGTAGACAGTAATAGATAGATATGGTTTATTGATTCTATACTGATATTATAAACAAGTACCTACTTATCTATATTTTGTTCAGCAAAAAACAATAATTTCGGTTAGAACAACCACGATAAGATGTAGGTGTCGAGAATTTAGAATACGGAATTATGTTATAACAAATACATTTAACTTTGCTTTAAATAGTTTTTGAATTCATTAAGAAACACTGCTGCTTCAAAAGTCAATATTAATATGCGATAAAAACTTGATACTGTCGATCGTAAGCATTATTATCAAAATCGATTCAGAAATGGCCACGTACCTAATCACGTAACGCCCTTTTTGGTGTGTTTATTTAAATTGCCAAACAGTTAAACAAATGAACCTATTGCGAGGGTTGGTATAGAAATACCGTTAACCCTAAAGAGGGACTCAGTTTATTTTTTTATTATTACATACATCAATTGTATGGAAATTAAAGTATACGTCTTTCAGTGATGTGGTTATTCATTATACCTATTGAATATTACATAATCTGAAACCTAATTACTGTTACTCTTAATTACCTTAAAGAACGAATTGTATTTTTCGATAATGTGCAAAATTATGGATTACGCAGTACTGAAAACGTTCGCCTTAAAACTCGTTCTCATAGCTCTTCGTTTTGCTCTAAATCCTTCTCTGTGAACGCCATATAATTGTGGAACTCACTACAATCCTCAATACTCAGCGCCCAGTCATTAGCCACATTCAAGTAACTAATTAAATCTTACTACCTGTCATTATAAATTGTGTTTTTTTTATTGCTCTCTCTCTTTTTCTTGTCTTGTTTTCGCCTTCCATATTTATTTGTTTCGTTTTATTATTGTGTGTGTTATTATATATTTATTTATTTAACATATACTATTATAAGTACTTAGGTGTGTGAATGGTATTCATACGATTATTTATTTATTTATTTTTAGGAAACCGTACAGCTGAATGACAATCAATACATAGTCGAATTATATCTATGTTGAGTCATGAATAGTTTTCACATTTGAGATTATTTGCATATGTTTTCTAGAAAAGATTGCTTCAATGATAAAACTGCCTTTTATTTGCCTACTTCATATATGTAATATAATATATTGTCTTGTATTATTCTATAAGTGGCGCAATAAAGAGTAAATAAATGAATCTGAATCCTAATTACTAACTCATTCCCCGGTGTCGCTTTTGTCCCTACAAAAGGATTACTGGGCTTATATTCTTATTACACGGACTTTTTGCCTTAACAGAGATTTGAGAAAAGATTTTTGGTAATCTTTAGTCAATATACAGTAGACTTGTATATCATTTTATTGATTGGAAGCTGTTCAGTTTAAATAATGAAGAAATAAATTTTAGATCAGAAATATAAGACTTGTTTTGCAACCAACGGTACTTATACAGAAAACGAAAATTTATCTTATATAGAAAAGTACATTGTTATTAGTTATTACTATTAAATTATTAAAAAACAATAATAATACTAATACATATAGTTATTTAAAATACATAGTTATTGTTAAAAAATATTACGAAAATTATATTAAAAAACAAATTTACAAATTTATAACAATAATAAAAAAAAATAATTAGGTATCAAAAACTTGTTATGTATAATATAAAATTATATATAAATTTAATATAAAATACCAATTGATCTTTCGACTGACTTGTACGAAGCCAGGGCAAATCACGAGTTGTATTATAAAACTATTTTAGTTGATATAGTATTTACGAGTATTATTAGGCCGCAACCACAGTGCTACATATTTTGCCCGCGGCGATCACCGTGTTTCCTGCAATAGTCAATATTGATTGTGGGCCAATGCGCTGTGACAGTGTAATTGTTCGAGATTAGGCAGACCGACCGTCGCCCGGTAGGGATTAGTCTCTCAGCAGTCCCTTAATTGTTTGCGGATAACGGTATTAACGAGTGCTGCTGATTGAGCGTGCATTTTTTCCATTATTACCAAATGCTGGACATTTTTACTTGCTAATACAGCAGTCTATACAGTTTCATAAAATTTCACGCAATATAATGCGTGAAATTTTATGAAACTGTCTTAACATAATATGGGATTACAACCAGTATGTAGGCATAGTTAGGTTAGCATCAATATTTTTAAGGGTTAAATTATGACTCCGCCTGCAGTATCGGTATACTTCATCTTATTCTTATAGTACCTCTCCAACTAGTGTAGGTTGGCTCACGGAATCTGTCTTATTATTTCATCTCCCAAGAGACGCTCTCTTATGAGATCAAATAATTCGGCTACACTCACAATACCCGTCCATTTCTGGATATTGTGCAGCCAAAACTTTTTTCTTGCCAGTTTGCCAATTTTGTCCATCATATGATTATAATGATATCACATAGAAGGTAGAAGTACATGCCCAAGATACGAACTTTTCCGTTTTTTTATAATAAGTTATAGTTGCGCTGTTGCACAGTATGTCGCAATGTAGAGGACATTGGTGTCTTTCTGTGTCCAACTTATCCTCAACTTCCGTCTGTATGTCCACATTTCAAATGTTTCTACATGCTTTTTCTAAGTAATGGTCTACAACTGGTACCCGCATTTAATTATGGGCCAAATATAACAATGTAAATTATACGCAAGCTGATCTTCAGGTTTATGTTAAGCAGCATACCCTTCATAGTATTGATCGGTATATGTTAAATTAGTATACGCAGCGGGGTGTGAGTGATGACAGATAAGAATGAAGTAAGTTTCTACAGTTGGTCCACCGTAACGAATTTACCACAATTATTTCTTACTAAAGGTGTATTGCTAGTAATGAGGATTAACCGCTTTATTATTAACAATTCCGTCCGCCCCAGTATCTATTCGATTTTTATTTTTCAGAATGT